ACAAACAAGGAAAAGCGCAAAGAAAAAAATCCATCGCAGAAAACATAACAGAACATAAAAGGAAAAGGGGGTCATTACACGGGACATAAATACGGCCTGTATTTACGTGTCCGCCGCGCCATTAAAGTGCACACCGATACCACACGCCGCCGCGCCGAAAATACAGCGCCGCGCACGTCGTCTCGCCTCGCCTCGCCTCATCTACCGCTTCCGCTTCGCGCCGAGCGTCCCGCCGAGGACGCCGTCGCCGCTCATGCGCCGCCCCTCCGCGGACCCGCTGCCCTCGCCCGAGTCCGCGTCGGCGTCCGCCTCCATCTCGACGTCGTCGTCCGCGTCGGGCAGCGGCGGGAGGTCCTCGTCCATTTGCGCCGAGACGTTGCGCGATCTTCTATGTGGCAAGGGGAGGCGTCAGCGACTGGTGCAGTCTGTTTGGATGGTGAGAAGGGAGGAGGGAGGGAGGAAGAGCGGATGCGTGATGGATTGAAGTCAAGGGGAGGCGAGGCGGCGTGCGCAGTAGCGGGCGAGGGACGAGAAGGGAGGAAGAGCGGATGGTGGATGGAAGGCAAGCGGAGGCGAGGAGGGCTGGGAAGGTAGGAAATTGGGCGCGATGCGAGCGCGCGAGGGACGAGAATAAAGGAGTAGGCAGACCAGATCCCCAACTCACCTCATCGCGCCCGCGCCCGCATTGTCCTCCACCTCCGTCTCCGCCCCGCCGCCCCCATCGCGCACCCGCGGCGCCGCAAACAGCTCGTCCACCTCGTCCCCGTCCTCGTCCGCGAGGTCGTCCGCGAGCACGCCGTCGTCGCCGGGGCTGAGCAGCGCGCTCGCGGGGAAGGCGCCCGGCACGTCCGCGAGGGGGTCGTCTTCGTCCTAGGGAGGGGGAGGGAGGTTAGATTCGCGATAAGACGCAGGGATGGAGAAGAGAGAGAAGGGGATAGAAGACGGGGACCATGTGCTCGCGCGCGAAAGTACGAGGACAGAGCATGCGTGCGCACTACGACATCCGCTCTCCGCGACGCGCCGCGCGAACGAGAAACATGCCTATATTGACAGCGGACAAACAATCCGGAGCGGCACGCCTCCTTGCCATCGCTGCATGCCGTCACAGACGCCGCGCTGGCATGAAAACAGGATAAGAGCGCCAGCACACCACCGGCCCCGCGAGAATGCCACTTCTCCGCAAAGGGCAAGCCGCTCCTCGTCCTCTCCCTTATGAGCCTCGAATACACGCGATAAAACCCCGCATGGGATCGACAAACAGCCGCACGCCGTTCCTGAGCCAGCTCAATACGCGGAAGCGGACTCCATCCTCTGCGGATCCGACGAGCGGCGCCCGACTGAGCGCAGAGAAGACGCGCCGCAGCGCAATCCCTCCAGCGCTAGCGTGCGTCTCCTCGCGGCAGCAAAACCCCGCAGAGCCGCGCCCTCCCTGGCCTGTCGCACGACCCACACGCGCCCTCCCCTCCCCGAACAAGCGCGCAGAGAAGCACGAAAAGGAAAAGGAAAAGGCACGCACCTCCTCCGCCTCGACCTCGACGTCCTCCTCCAGGTCCGCGAACGTGCGGCAGAGCGGGCAGCTAAGGGCGCGGGGGCGTCAGTGGTCGTTCGTATTCGGGTGGTGAAGAGGGGGGAGGGAGGGAGGGTAAAGAGGGGAGCGGAGGGGAGCTAGAGAGGGAGGGGAGGGGAGCTAGAGAGGGAGGGGAGGGAGGGGAGGGAGGGAGGGAGGGAGGGAGGGAGGGGAAGACGGGAGAAGATGGGGAGAGAGGGAGGGAGCGAGGGAGGGGAAGGCGGGGAGGGAGGGAGGGGAGGGGAGTGAGGGAGGGGAGGGGAGTGAGGGAGGGGAGGGGAGTGAGGGAGGGAGGACGAGGGGGGAGGGAGGGAGGGAGGGAGAACGAGGGAGGGAGGGAGCTAGAGAGGGAGGGAGGGGAGTGAGGCAGGCGGGGCAAGCAGGGCGCCACCTCAGCACGCCGCCACTCGCCGAGATCCGGGGTTCGCCGCCACGCCCTACGCGCCCTCCCCCCTGCTCAAACGCCTCCCCCCCCCTCCAATCGTACCCGAGAAAAGCGCAAACCGAGAAAGCGCAAGAAAACGCACCTAAACGCGGGGTGGTGCGCCTCCAGCAGCGGGCGCAGGCACTTGTAGTGGAACGCGTGCGAGCACGGCGCGATGAAGAGCGCCTGGCGGATCGAGACGGGGAAGAGGCCTGCGGGCGGGCGTCAGCGAGTTCGTGGCGGGAGAGATAAGGGGGGGGGGGAGGAAGGAAGGAATGACTATGAGCGGGGGAGCAGAGTGGCGCGACGACGCAGCGCCATCCACGCCAAGCCGCGCCCAGCTCCCGGACCATCATCCACGACGCCAGCGCAGACGCCAGGCTGGAATCTTAACCCGGGACGGACGGCCGTCCCAAGCACAGATCCAAACCCAAGCCCAAGCCCACCCAACTCGTCGCGATAGAGCCGGCCGAGCGATAGAGCCGCGCAGACAGCGATGGAACCGAGTGAGATCCGGCGCGGCGAGCTCGCCACCCCCGCCCCCGACAAACAGGCGACACGAAACACGCGAGATCCGCCCGGCCCCACCGCGCCCCCGCCCCCGCCCCACATAATAAGAAAGGAAAACGCCCGGCACGAAGCCCGCCGTGCGGCACCACAGAACAAAATAAAAATAAAAATAAAAGAGGCCAAGGAAACGCGAGAAGAGAAGAGAAGAGAAGAGCAGAGAAGAAAAGAGCAGCACGCACAGATGCAGCAATCAGGAATACTCCCCCCCGGCGCCTTCCGCCGCTTCTCCTTCCCGCCCGCGCCCGCGCCCGCATCGGCCCCGGCTGCAAAACGTACGTCAGTTCCGCGGAGCTTCCACAAAGGAGCAGAGGGGCGCCGCACCGCCGCCGCCGATCGCGAGCGCCTTGAGGTTCTTGAGCGCGTTCGTGCTGCGAACAGAGGGGCGTCAGCATACACGCAGATGCGAGATAAAAATATTAAATCAAATAAAGAACGTGTCGTCCGCGGTAGGAGAGGACAGAGGGAGAGCCCACTCGGACGGCCGCCCGCAAGAAGCCCCTCGCGGAAGGAGCCTCGTAAAACGGAGAGGAGAAGACGCACTTGAACGCATTCGCGCCGGCCTGCCACTCGCGGCCGAGCTCGACGCGGATCTTGACGCTCTTGTAGATGTCCTCCGCGCCGCCCTGGTAGTCGACGCCCTGCGAGTGAGGGTTAGCAAAACGCATAGATCGGATGGGAGGGAGGGATGAGAGGAAAGGGAGACGGACGAGGGTGTGGAATACGAAGTGAAGGGAGGAGATGTGAGGAAAGAGACATGTAAAGGGGGGAAGTGGCCAGACTCACCAACTGCAAAATATCCCCATCCTTGATCTGATGCGCCCGACTCTCCGTATTCGCCGGGCTGAGCCTAACATGATTCAAAAACGTCCCGCTGCTGCTCTTCGTGTCGCGTATGAAAAACCTGACGCCGGGCACGGCGCCGAGGTTCGCGCCGCTGCCCTCCAACGGCTCCGCCTCGCACCACACCTCCGCGTGCGCCCTGCTCACGACCTTGCTCTTGAACGCGATCTTGCTCCCGCTCAGAGCGTTGACGGCCGCGAGCCCGAGCCCGGAGCGGTCGGTGAAGCGCCCGATGCGGAGCGGCGCGGCGGCGGGGACGAGGTCGCGCGCGATGGGGTCGAAGCGCAGCGAGCGGCGCGAGTCGAGGTGCGGGACGAGGCGCAGGCGGTGCGGCGCCCCGGCGCCCGGGGCGCCGGCCGAGGGCGGCGCAGAGGCCGGCAGCGGCGCCGTCGCGCTCCCCGGCAGGATGCTCGCGCGCGGCGGCACCGGCTGCGCGGGCGGTGCGGGCGTGGCGACGTTCCCGGCGCTCCGCCGCCGCCGGAGCATGTGCCCAAGACTCATCCCCGCCCCGCCGCCGCCATTGCTCACCGGCGGCGGCGCGGCTGGCGGCGGTGCCCTTCTTCTCGCACTGCCCGCGCCGACGAGCAGATTGGGCGACGGGGGCCCGGGCGCGGGCGGACTCGGGCTCAGCTCGCGCAGGCCCTGGGCGCCCGTGAACGGGTTGATATTGCTCGTGGCGGGGTGGGCGGAGTGGTGGAAGGGGTTGTGGGAGGTGTGCGGTGGCGGGGCGGCGGCGGCGAGGGCGGCGTCGACATGGATGTGGGACTGGGACGAATTGCGGGGGCGCCCGCGGGAAAGGAACGAGCCGAGAATCGTCGTCGAGCGCGGTGGCGGTGAGTCTGTCCCGCCGTCCATCGAGGCTATTAGAGATAGAAGGGCAGTCTAGGGCGATGAACAAGGGCGGGAGCAGGTACAGTGTGACTGTCAGTCACACAACCGTATAAAGGCCGCGCCGTCACTGGGCTGTCAGCCACTTGTCTTTCTCTTTCAAGCGTCTTTCGATGTCTTGGCTCTGGGAAATCCCACCTCCACCCGGCACCCCCACACCCCAATTGATTCCCGAGCGATCCCATCGTGATCTCAGCGTGCATCTGGCCACATTGATTCAGAGACACGGTGATGATCGACGTCTGCTGTAATTATATGTATGCATCTCACGAATGTTCTACCATGTGCAACGAAAGCTCTCTCCATTCACATCAATATAGCCATCCAACGCAGTAAAAAGAAAAAATCCACGAATCCAGAAAGAAAAAGGAGTACACTCATGATTCGTATATGCGGGTGCCAGGAGTCGAACCCCGGATGGCTGCGTAACTCCTTGTAGCACAGCACAATCATGGGCAGGCAACTGCGCACCGTGTGCTACACCCACTTCTGCACATCCTTCCAACAGGAAATAGGTAGGATGCTTCCGGCTATGTACTCCTATCCTACTTGGGTCTTACACAGAAATGTTCACCGTGTTCAGCGGCTCAAACACCATATCTCTTGTTCGCCATATTTCTCTTGTCAAAAGGCATCCCCAGGCCCATTGAAGAAAGCAGTGAAAGAAGAAAAACTCCAGAAACAAGAAAAACAATATTGGGCTATTTGGCATGCAGGTGCCGGGAGTCGAACCCAGGATGGCTACTTAATTCACAGGATGTCATCAGCGAACAATTGGCAGCTGCACACCATGTGCTACACCCACTTCCAGGTATCCTTTCAAGACAGAATAGGAGGATAGGATAGGATACTTTCTGGAGGCTATGTACTCCAACTGTCCTTACACAAAATCGTTCACCAGACCCTCACCCATATAATAATAAAGCAAGATCTCTCTCGTCAAATGGTATCATCCTGCCCCTCGAACAAACGAGTCAAGGAAAAACTCCAGAAACAAGAAAAACAATATTGGGCTATTTGGCATGCAGGTGCCGGGAGTCAAACCCGGGATGGCTGTGTAACTCGTTTTGGCAAGACCTTGACAATGGGCAGCAGGCCCCTGCACACCATGTGCTACACCCACGTCTATGCATGCTTTCAACAGGAAATAGGTAGGATAGGATGCCTTCTGGCAATGTATGCCAGAAATGTTCAGCTTGTTGTCATAAATCATATTCCCACGGTTCGGCATTTCCTAACCGCCGGCTTTCCCCGATGTTCTCTCCGATTCTTCTTACTCATATCTTACTCAGCTACCATACTATTCTTACTACTCGTAGTATGTTCTAGATAGATCCTGTACAGTATATAAGCTCTCAGTTGAGCCCCCATAATATTCAGTTCAGTTAATTCTCTTACTCGTGCGATCTCAACAATAGGTTATGGGCCCCGGCTGTAACTGATCTTCTCCCGTAACCTCGCACATCTATCACACGTCAATCACCACTTAGCCTAACTCGCTCACAAAAGTTATTTAACGACGCACACTACGCCTCTCGCACTACACCCACAGCCCGGCCACCCATCACACATTTACCATGTCCAACAGCACCACATCTGCCTATCGCATCCAGCATCTCCTTGGTGAGGAGAACTATCCCACCTAGGCCGTCAAATTGACAGACATTCTCACGGATCAGGGACTGATTGACTATGTCCTTGGCACTGTCCCACGCCCTCAGCACACCATCAGTGCTAGCGGTGATATCGTTGATCTGCAAGGCACCCAGGCCCAAGCAATCTCGAATTGGGATCATAAGGACCGCCAGGCCCTCTCCCAAATCCGACTCCGTGTCTCAGACGACCCGTTGGTGTACATCACCGACACCACCACCTCATCGGCAGCATGGAAAACCCTTGCCGATACATATCAGCCAAAGGGTGTCATCACCACTGTACTGCTCCGCCGCCAGCTCTCACGCCTCCACTGTGAGGAAGGTGGGAATATTGAGGAGCACATCTGTGCCCTTACCCACCTGCGCTCGAAATTGTCAGCGCAGGGAACCAAACTTTCCGAGGAGGAATTCTGCATCACTCTCCTCACGTCACTGCCAGACTCTTGGGACACATTTATCTCAGGCGTCGACACGGCATCGTTGACGGAATCAACCAAACTTTTAGCGCGAATTCTGGAGCAGGACCGCCGTCGTAAAGCCAAACCCTCTTCTGATGAGGTAGCACTTCCGGCCTGTTCGTATAAACAGAAACATGGCAAACAGTCCAAATTCAACCCGAAAGTTACCTGCTATGGCTGCGGCAGGATCGGGCACATGATTGGGGACTGCCGTGATGCAAAGGCTGGGAAAACATTTACCACAGCCCAAAAGGAGCAGAACACTCGTGAATCAAAGGAGCGCTATGCAAACAAACATCACACGCACCTCGCACAATTATCATCCAGCTCCGACACCACCAATTTCGCATTCATGGCACATGAAAATGCACCACCCCTTCCTCATGGCTCCTGGCTTGCTGACTCTGCCGCCAGCAAACATATCCTCATCTCCAAGGATTTTTTCCAGTCGTACGCCACCACCGGTAATCATACAGTATCTGGTTTCGGAAGTGTCCGATGCCACGGAGCCGGCACCGCTGCCGTCGCTTCCCATGTCAAAAGCTCTGCCTACAATATCACTCTGAAGGACGCCCTCCATGTCCCTGAGGCACCTTTCAATTTAATCTCAATTGGACGCATCACCGATGCTGGGTTCTCTGTCCAGTTTGATGGTGATCTCATGCACGTCTACACCAAAGGTTCTAAACACCAGGAGATCATGCGTGGCAAGAAGAATGGTAACCTTTATCATGTCATAATCACTCCCGCTGCCAAACGATCCACTCCTGCCGCATTCCCAGCAATGCCAGCCCCGCCATCAGCGCCTACCTCCACATCACTTCCTTCCCCGGCTATCACATCATTGATTGTTCCGCCAGCTTCTACATTCACACCCGCCTTCGCCGCTGTCGCCCCTACTCATTCCTGGGATAAATGGCACCGCATTTTTGGGCATATTGCTCCAGCATCCATTAAAATGCTGAAGAACAACAATATGGGTTGAAGAAATGAACATTGATTCAACCAGTACCCCTTCTGCCCAATGTGTGAACTGCATCAAAGCCAAATCCCACGTTGCTCCGTTCCCAGCTCAGGCTGAACGCGAGTACTCCGAAATCGGCGACATGACATTTACAGATGTCTGGGGACCATCGCGGGTCACCGGCATCCGTGGCGAACGGTACTACATCAGCTTCACTGATGGTGCAAAACGACGCACTATAATTTATGCCATGAAGAAGCGCACGGAAGTTCTAGGCCGAATGAAAGACTGTGTGTTGGAGTTGATGCCATAATGAGCAACCCGGCATCATGCCCGAGGTTATGAGTCGAATCGAGTCTTGGAATATTTATTGAGAGTCATTCAGAGTCAGAAGAACATATAGGAGCATTGGAGAATCATATGGAACATTCTAGTTGGATTGAACAATTTAGTATATAAGTAGCTCAGTTTTCTATGTATTGCTCAAGCGTTTGCAGAGCTCAGCCAACCACTACAATTATCATTTGGATTCTACTCTAAACTTTGTCTGATTCCTTAAGAAACTACAACACTATGATGCGTACATTTCCACCCAAACGGGAAAACATGTCAAAGCCTTTCATTGCGACAATGGCAAGGAGTACATCTCCAAAGAAGTCCGTGATTATCTAAGCTCCCGAGGCATTCGCCTCGAGCTTACGGCACCATACTCTCCACAACAAAACGGTGTTGTGGAACGCCTCAACCGCACTCTTATTGAGCATGCCCGTGCCATGCTAGCTGCCCACAATGTACCCCAATTTCTTTGGCCTGAGGCTGTTGCCTATGCCACTTACTGTAGTATTTCGACCGTAAGTTCAGGTGACGGGTGACAGAGGGCTGTGAACTGAACTTATTTGCAGCCAGTGACGGTGACGACCAATGAGTGAACATCTTATTTTTTGGAGTTGAAAAGGTGCAAAAACGAATCATGTTTGAGCTGCGCTAAAATTAACCAAAAGAATCGGTAGAGAAAGGCAAAAGAAAAACCAGTGTTCCGCCCAAGCGGAGTCTTGGTAACAGTGCTACGATTTTCCGAAGCTGGCCCGAGTGCCACTGGCTCTTCATCCGACTCCTCCACCTCCGCATCAGAGGTCTTAGCTTTGCCCCGGGACGACATCATCAGTAAAACTACACATTTGGCTTTGGCATCTTTGGCATCTTTGCCAAGATGCCAAAGACCTCAAAGACCCATTTCCCCCAAAGATGCACGTCTTTGGCTAACCAGGTCCCTCTATCTTAGCCAAGACGTTTGGTCTTGGGAAAGACATCCAAAGACGCATCGTAGCTGGCCCAGGTCTTTCTCAAAGATGTTCAAAGATACGCTGAAAAGAACTCAAAAGATCACAAAATCGAATAAAAACATATATTCATGCGCAAGTAGTAGCAACCCAAGTACAGGGGGCTACGGAAATAGACATTCAACGCCATTATGTACGCCTGGGGGGAAAGGGCCAGATGTGATGGCGGCAAGGTTGATCCAGCGGGACGGCGAAGATGGGGGCAACAAGCTGTCATTAGACTTCAAAGCCACGCGATGGATACTGAGACATACGGAGAGTACTGCATTCGAACGAACGGGGACATTGCGTTATATGTGGTTAAACTAATATGCATGTCAGCTGGGACGATGGCAGGAAGCGGGGATGATGGTAGGAAGTGGGCACGTACCAACAGCACGGCACCTGGGAAGGAAAGGTTGATGCGGAACCGATGGGCCTTGGAGCAAAGCAGTGCTTGAATATATGGAAGTGGAAATGGAGGGCTGTACTTGTTCGACAGCAGCCAGAGCTTTGAACGATGGACTTGAGAGGCACAGGATTTGGATTTGGATTTGGGATGATGGCAGGCACGACCACCGGTGGCTGACTTGCTCCGCACGGATAACAACAGGGTATTGGTATAGACTTGCGACGGTGTTGCGTGTACTGGCAGCGTTGACGGGCACGGATTGCCATCCTGGGAGATTGACTTGCAACGGCACACACATTGACTTGGATCCAGCACTGGTCGCAGGCAGCAGCGGCACAGTGGATTTGCCACCAGCATATCTTGTGGCGGTCCAGGGGGACGAACGAGAAAGGATGGAGACATGGGCGAGAGGCGACGGGAAGAATGTGAAGGGAGAGAGCAACGAACCAAATGATGCCATCAAAGCACGCCATCCGCAGTTGACAGTTGTGCGTGGCATCACATCAAGCGGAGTTTGAAAGACTTCGATGAAATTCTTCCGTTCGCCCTCCAAGTTTTCGCGTTGCTCTCTCCCCTGGAATATCCCTCTTACCAAATGCTGGGTTATATGATCTACCTTGGTTTTATCTGACCAGATCAATATTCTGTGCCTTTCGTATATGTGTGTCATTTTGTCTCGCTGTCTCTTACTTTTCAAAAATTACTCTCTCTGGGAATACCCAATGCAATGAAAACAACACGAAGTGAAACTTGGCAAAAATATACAACTGCCAAGTTTATGAAAAAATTATGGGAAGATAGATTTCAAAGACAAAAGATGACCTGTGAAAGCCCAAGACATCCCAAGCTGGGCAGCCCAAGACCGAAGATGACTTGCCCAAGACAAAGACCTTCAAAGATGAGGCTGAAAGCTAAAAGATGCCAAAGCCATTTGTGTAGTTTTACTGATGATTAAGGTCCGTCCATGGTCTTCAACATCAAGGAACTTGAAATAAAT